GTGCAGTGGGAAAGCAGAGGAAGGCAACAGAAAGTCACAGGGAAAAGGCAGTAGGAATTGAGAGGAGATCAGGAAACTACTGGAGAGGGGTGGGGCTGGAGTTGAGAGAGAGAGAGAGGGAGAGGGAGTGGCAGTAGGTGCTGGGAGCTGGAGACAGGTTCCAGCTGCTGGAGAAAATTGCAGGACGGCCACGAGGAGCTGGGAAGCTGCAGGGGTGGGGAATGGCTACAGAAGGTGCGGGGGAAGCCTGAAATCAGAGAGACGGACAACAGAAAATCACAGGAAAAGTGGCAGGAGATACTGAAAGGCAGCAGGGGCAGTGGGAAAGCAGAGGAAGGCAACAGAAAGTCACAGGGAAAAGGCAGTAGGAATTGAGAGGAGATCAGGAAACTACTGGAGAGGGGTGGGGCTGGAGTTGAGAGAGAGAGAGAGAGGGAGAGGAGAGAGAGAATGAGGCTGGAATTTAAGATAAAGAAGGGACTGGGATTCAGTAAAACATGACCCAACTCAGGGTTGCAAATGACAGTGGTTATATTGAACAGGGGAGATGGTGACACAATGTCTTATTGTTTCTCTTGCACCCACCCACCCAACCACACACACATGTGCACACACACACACGCATGCACAATGGCAGCAGGGGTTAGAGAGGCTTGGTGCAGGGGCTGAAGTCCACTTACGTCCGGGAGGAGAGAGAGAGACAGAGAGAGAGAGTCCAAATTGTAGGAGGAGGTTTGCAGGTAATATCTACCCATCCAGGCTGGAAAGGGGTCTTTGTCCAGTAGGTGTTGTCCAGAGGGGGGTCGCCAGCAGGGCCTCTGTGTGGATAGGTGGTGTGGCATGGTGCTGGTCCAAATGGAGAGGGTGTCCCACTGGGTTTGTCTTCACTGCCCCTTTTTATAGGGGCAGACCTTGTGTGACCCTAGTGACAGAAGGCATGCCCAGGCAAGGGTCAGCCCGTGGAGTACTGATCACGTGTGCTCCATGCAGTGATGTGCAGTTTTCGGTGTCTGTAATGGTGAGAGTTGCTGGTTCTGCAGGGTCTTTTGTCTTTCAAATGCTGGGTTCTTGTCTCTGTTCCTGGGTGAGGTCTGTGGTTTCTGGATGAATCAATGTGAGGTGATGGCCCAGTCATTACAGGCCATT